TGGGTGGTATCAAGGAGTGGTCTTGAAATCCTTGCTTTCTGCTACATAAGTTTTTTGTCAATTAGACATGATGGCAAGCAAATATATCAGTTTAAAATGCATTCTTTCCTTAGCCCTATAAACATGCATCAACAGCCCAAAGAGCTCACTGGCTGGAATGGAAGGAGTTGATTGATTAAATTCACAAGTCCAATGGATGAAATTCCAGAACCTGAAAACTCAGTTGAGAGGACTGCCAATGATTGATAGGTCATCACCCTCCCCCCCCCCCCACACACACCCCAATCCTTTTCTTGATCCCTCATTTCATTAATCATTGAGTGCATATACATGTATCAAATGTCTGAAGGAAGCCAAGATCTTGGTTAATATATCATTCACCTGTTAACAAGATTGACAGTATTGGGCTGCAAGGAATTGGGCTTGTGCTGCATGGCACTAAGGCTGCTGGACATCACCAATGCTGATGAGGAAGCAATTGGTGCCACACTCGAAGTAGTAGATCCAGATACAGCATGGCCAGTTTGGCCTTCCACAGGCTTTCTTGAACGATGGCGGCCTCTGTTGATGTGTCTTTCACAGTATTTCTGATCAGGAACAGCATCTCTCGAGCACCGCCATTTCTTACCATCTGTTCTCCTACACCTCCCGGGCTCAGGATCATTGCTGCCGGAGAAACCTAGATGGAAAGGACCCCATCCCACTGCATGCACAAGAAGGGGGTAATGTACTAAACCAGTAATAACACATCCATTATGCCGCATGTCTACCAAGTTCTGCTTCGTTTTATACTAGCCATATCTCTTAGAAATTAGAATAAACTTTATCAAAGAATGTAAAAAGAATCATTTCACAAATACATGGAGGTTATAGTTTATCATGAAAATGTCATACAACCAAGACACCTAAAACTGATTATTGATTCTACCATGGTTTAAAAAAACTATTTTAGGCTTACGCCTCGAATGTCACCTCACGTGAGGCTGTCATGGAACACCTCAAAATCTCTAAGGCCATTTGTTAGTCTTACACATCTTTTTACCGAGGCTTACTCCTCAAACCAACTAAGGTTTTGCTCATTTTCCTTGCATTTTTCAAACATTGTATTATTGGCCTTAGCCTTTTGATTTATTTATAACCTAAAACGTTTTACAAGTTCTTTTATTTTCTTATTTCTTCCTATGGAATAAAAATGCAAAGAATACACCATTGACATTGGAGGATGTTGACAAAGAATGGATTTTGTGAAAGATTCATGGTCTATTACAAGCATATTTTTGTATCATTATATTCTTCTGAACTCTCTTATTGTTCGATCTTGAGGCTTACTTCTCAAAGCTCCTTGAGGCTTATGTCTCTTCTAACGGAGATAAAATGTCTCCATACCCGACTAAGCCTTTTCAAACACTGATTCTCCATTGGACAAACACAGGAAAAGATCATAAAAATAGAAGTTAATGATCACGCATAGCAACAAAGCTGGGTTCTCATCATGCAGACTAAGCCTTTTCAAACACTGATTCTCCATTGGACAAACACAGGAAAAGATCATAAAAATAGAAGTTAATGATCACGCATAGCAACAAAGCTGGGTTCTCATCATTCTGCATGCCTTTTACCCACTATACTATTAGACCGTGGGCACTAAAAAAGACAATTTTTATTCTCTTTTTCTTCAAGTCTAAGACTAGTACCATTTACCTTATTGAACATGTTGCAGGAGATAAAAGGTTCCAGCTCCTTAATAAGGTCAGTAAACTTAATGCTGTAGTGTGTATGCAAACATCCAGGAAGAGAAGCTTACGAAAATTAGAGGAATAAGATCCAGATGAAGCATATGGATTGAGAGGACTCCAGACAGGCACAAGTAAATTGGAGGGAATTGGGACATTTGCCATAATGTGTTTGTAGATCAAAGCCTGACGTTCTAGCTCCATCCATTGGGAGGGAGTGAATGGACCTTTCAATCTAGCAAAAGGCCCTCGTATGCCTTCATTCAATCCTCCTGAAGCAAGTAAAAGTACAACTTAGCTGCTGCTTTTTTTATCCCTCTTTTAACAGAAAACCCCAGAAAATAGTTAAAAGAATAGGATAAAATTTTGCAGCAAAACTACCAATATAAGCTGTATGTTGTGTTTTTAAACAGCACTTGGGGCCAAAAAATGTAACCCTTTTGTTTTCTTGACAAGACCCCAAAAGATCTTTATTAGTAATCCACGAAAAGACCCTCTCCCAACCAGCAGCATCCAGTGCAAGAAATAAAGCCACATACAAAAACAACATCCAACATTGAATTCTAAAAAAAAAAACTTTCTTTACATAACCCACAAAAAAAAAAAAAAAAAATCAACTTCAAACCGAAAGTTAAGATTTTTTATCTACACACCTCTTGTTCTTCTATAATTTTCATTCTGGCAATGGGGCTCCGAAGAAGAAAATGAGAGCATCTTCTGACCGTCATCACCCCCTGATGGCCATATATTAGATCTTCCAAAAGCAATGAAATTTTCTGTCTTCTTGGAAGGGATTTCAACCTGAAAAGGCCTTGGCATTTTGGTAACCCTCCAACTATTCTCAGCAAGTTCAGATCTTTTCTCCTTCAGATTCCAAGATCCATTTGCCTTGTCATTTTTGGGCTCAGTTGAACCTGGAATGGCAGCATTAGGAGAGGCTTCTCTGTGGCTCAAGAACCCAAAATCCATTTCTGATGAAATATAACAAATTTACACTAGACAGGAGCATGAGTTCATAACAAGCAACTTTCTTAGAAACAAAAATGTGAGAGAAAGCACAAGGAACAAGTTAGCTGAAATTTTATTTTTATTTTATTTTTATGGGTAAATATCACAAAATGTCCTTACCTGTAAAATGTCTCTATCTTTTTTCTTCTTTTTTTAAACATTTTTACTCTTAATTACAGCTCCAATTGCGCAAAGCATTTTTCCGTCCATATCCATCCGAATATTATTAAGTGAATAGGAATCCCCCTTTTTCTTTTTCAAAATGGACGGATATTTTTGCCGTATAGCAGATTTTTCCCATTCTTCCAACCTTTAACAAGTTGTTATTTCTTTTTCAATAAAAAAAAATAAGTTGTTATTTCTTCACTAACAGTGACAATAAACAAAAAAAATAAATAGGAATAATATAAATTATTTCATTAATATATAAAAAATGACATACCATTTGTATTTCACCGTTAGAAGAATAATGTCCATTGTAATGGTAAAACCTATCGAATATTAATGGTAAAGAGGACATTGAATATATGGTTGATGAACTGGAGCTATTCATCTCAATTTTAACTTGCAATTAAGGATGCAATTAAGAGTGAAAATGAGAAGAAGAACGATGGCAATTGTAATATTTTAAATTACCCATCAAACGTCAATGATGAATTAATCATGAAATTCCAACGATGAAGACGAACTTGGATTGTTCAGCCTCATTTTAGCCTGAAATTAATGTTATGACAAACATCCATGACCCTACCTATTAATATTGTTGACGTGTAACACCCCTACATTTGAAATTGTCTAGCGTATAACATCCCTATCTTTTACTATAATTGTGACAAATATCATTATCACAGAACCTATTTCAACACTATGGAACCTGCATCAATTTTAACTCCATCTTCAATTCTAACATTTCCTAGTACAAAAGTGTTTGCCCATTCAAAACCTCGTCCCCAATTTTTGGATGCATGTCCCCATAAACTGTAGGTGCCACCCAAAGTCACATTATGCGAAATTGACACATTATTTTCCAATAACCGTTGTTTCTCCAATTACAACCCATGTAGCATGGTCAAGCAAAATCCCTCTTCTAAATTATCATTTGGGAAGATGAGGGACACCTGTACAACATCAATAACCACCATTCTTGAGAAAATAGAAGCCAAAACCCTCACCCCTCAGAAGAATTTAGGAAATGAAAAACAAAGATACCCAATCCAAAAATAACAATTTACATTCGCTTCACAGTGTGCTTTCATCGACGGCGAGGAGATGAAAGGGGAGGAGAAGAGGAATGATGTTTTAGCTGGGGAAGATTGTTCAAGCGTGACAAAAAGAAAACTGTTCGCGAGAAAAAATTGTATACATTGGATCACGTTTGGTGTAAGGAAATATTGGGAAAAATCGGTATAAGACAAAAATACCCTTCCATTTTGAAAAAAAAAAAAGATTCATGTTCACTGAATGACGGATTTGGATGGAATGGACGGAAGGACAGTTTGCGCAGTCAAAGGAGATGTCAGCATGATCGATCAAATTAAGGGTAAAAATGTCAAAATATGGAAGGTATAAACGTTTTGTATAATAACAGTGAAAGGTAGAGATGTTTTTTGTTATTTACCCTTTTATTTTTTTCCTTTTTTATTTGTAAGTAGATGCAAGATTTTTGATTAATTGCTAAGGAAAATAAAAGAAAATAACGAGAATAACCTTGGGACCAAATGTTTTGTAAGAAATTTACTAAAATCACCTTGAGATTTTGCTGGAATCAAAATGCTGTGCTTAAAGTCAAGTTTTGTGTAAGAGCAATTAACTAAAATCTCCTTGTAATTTTTGCAGATATTGAGCAAGGTATAAAGGAGTTGAGCACAATTTCAACAGCATAAAAATGGTTAACGCTTTATGTTTTGGGAAACTTTTGTTTTGTGTGGGGATTACCGATCAAGAAAATTTGAGTGTCAATTGCATCCCTTATTTAAAGTAGTTCGATTTGAAAATATGTCAAAAATTGTCCAAATTAAAATATTCTCACTTGTGTCACGAATTATGTGATAGAAAAGTTATAAATCTTATAAAATAAATACTTAAAATTAATTGTTGACTTTGACTTGAAATTTTAGTTAAAAAGAAACAGACGTTATGTGTTGTATAAATTCATCTCCTTTCTAGAGAAAAATATTGTAGCAATAAACGATTTAAGAATTGCAATTTAATTATTAATTAATAGATCAAGATTATGCATCAATTTGAAGATTTTTGCTCTTTTTTTTCATTTAATTGGCGAGGCATACATACACACATTTCAAATGTGTATTCAGCAGAGAAGAAGTCTATTTACCAATAATTGGCACGTCCTCGTCAAGGCCTTTCGTGAAAAACAACAGTAGATTGGGTCCAAAATCCAAAGCTTATCATCTTGATAATGTTCCACCCAATCAGTCCAATTCCAATAAATGGGTGCATTAATGGTACAAAATGAATTGTGTTTTCAATTAATAATAAGCCAAGAGAAGTGGTTGGTTGGGACATAAATTGGGAATTGGTATTGTGTAAGGTAATTAACCAATGGAAACACAAGTCAAATAGAGATCACAGAACAATATCGCACAAAGCAAGAAACAAATTCTTACTGCATTTTGGGCTCAGAACAAATCATTGTACACTTCTATACAAAGCAATAGCCACAAACACCCAAATCCCTAATCTAAACCACACAAGGTTACTCAATGGCTCGAAGACAAAACATAGCCAAAAATCAGACTGCCCCTCTCTCGCACAAACAACCACAAAGGCAACTAATCACCAAGACTATCGAAGGATTAAAACCAGTAGTTAAAAATCCACCCAAGAATCACTAAGAAAGGGAGAAGAGATCACAAAGAACTCAAAGCACAGGAACAGTCAGAAGCTTTCAAAGACGCAAGAGAGGGAATAAAAAAAATCTGCCAAGAATGACGCTCCAGCTAGTATATATAAAAGTCCAAGCTAAAAGCCAACAAATCAGCCCATTTATCAAACGGACTAGAGCAGCTCAAGTGGATAACCGATTGGGCCGAGGTTTGGACCAATTACTTTGTGTTATTGGGCAATGATTTTAGTCTTAAAACATTCCAACACTATTGGGCCAAGTTCATTTCATCATTACCCATAGTTGAATATAAATGACAAAATTGGTATCAATATTCAACAATCTCCCCCTTCATGCCAATGCCATAAACCACCAAACACATTAGTGTTTCGTAACACCAACACCAAGAAGGTCACCACCTGCAGAAACACAAAATTCATACAGAATCAATTCTTAGAATTTTTAAGCAATATTTAAACTTGGAAAGAGAAGGTACCTTTATTCCCATATCCGCAAGATTAAATTGTATAGGGATTTTCTCAATCAAAATAGATTCACATAATAAGCCTTTAAGTCGCAAAGACTCTTATATAGCTTCAGTAGTAGATAAGACAACAACAGACTACAATAGAGACTTCCAACTAATGCAAGTATCACACAAAGTGAACACATATGCAGTTATAGATTTC